TGGTGTGAAATGATCAGTGGATAACTAGAGGAGTGAAACTGGTGTGAAATGATCAGTGGATAACTAGAGGAGTGAAACTGGTGTGAAATGATCAGTCAGTGGATAACTAGAGGAGTGAAACTGGTATGAAGTGATCAGAAGATCAGTGTAGAAAGTCAATGATGATTGTACTATTTCTTAATAAACACTCCGAAAGACAAAAACAAGGAAGCAAACAAATAATAAAAAAATTGAAAATTTAATGGATAGTTATCTTACTGAGCATAACATCATCGGTGGAGAAGTTTCTGGCTGTGTTCATGAACCAAAACTTAAGTAACAGATATTGCAAGACAGTACTAAAAATGGTCTTTAATGTAAGTTTATACAAAAACTTTCAATTACAGTTTTCAGGATTTCTTCACAAAAACTGGAAGTGGGGTGGGACTTAAAGGTCACAGGTCAGTGAAAAATTAAAATTGTGTAATTCTTTAGATTAGTACCACCCCAGATATTTTCTAACCTGCTTCTTGTCTCTCCTGAATCCTCCGAACACGTAACTACACAAACATAATACTCGTATGTTATAGAACAATATTTTTTATAAGTTGCTGTTGTTCACTGGCTATTAGCAACATCTACATACCTTCTTGTGAGATATCCCATTATTCCAGCAGCATAGCATGCCTGAGAAAGAAAAAAATAATATATATTTTGGTCAAGTTTTATACAATAAAACAAATGTTTTGTGTATTTTTCTAGTCAAGCTCACCATACGAATTTGCTGATTTTAAGATGGAAATCGAGGATTGCCTGAAAGGTAATGAATGTTTTTAAATTTTTATCTTACACAAAGGAGTCCGTACAACGGCAGCCTTAACGACTAAATGGTGCCTTTTCCTGTAGGTTGTGTTTTAAGAATACACGATGTACCACGTGAAGTCCTTTCTTATAACTGAAGTAGTGATACATGTACTTCCCGTACTATCTAAGTTCACAAATGGCGAATACAACTAGAGATCGGCCAAAAAGGCAGCACATGATTTCACTAGAGAATAAAGATTTTAAGTAGACTTTCCTGTTGTTTAGGAAACTTGATAATAACCTATGGAGAGTCAAAATTTGTTTTCCCTCTTTTTTTTTAAGCTGAGAAAGTATAACTTTAATTATGGTTAAGTAACATTCATTCTTAGTTCTAAAAATCAACAGGGTTAAGAAAGGTTAACTATAACCACAAATACTAGCTGACGACAATAGCTAACACAAACCTATGTATACAGATATACAATTCTTATCCTATTTCAAGATATATTTTGTGTTTGACAAAGATAGACTGTGTTAAACACAAATCTACAGATATATCTATACAATTCTTATCCTGTTACAGGATATATTTTGTGTTTAACAAAGATAGGCTGTGTTAAACACAAATCTACAGATATATCTATACAATTCTTATCCTATTACAAGATATATTTTGTTTGACAAAGATAGGCTGTGTTAAACACAAGTCTACAGATATATCTATACAATTTTTATCCTATTACAAGATATATTTTGTGTTTGACAAAGATAGGCTGTGTTAAACACAAATCTACAGATATACCTATACAATTTTTATCCTGTTACAAGATATATTGTTTGTCAAATTCATAGTACTTTAATCAAGATATATACACGTCTCTTAAGCAACAAATAAAACTCTTATATTGGATAAACAAATGTGTTGATATTTTAATATTATGGGTTTATTAACACCCCTTATCTACCAACTTACATATGATACCCTTAAGCATACAAACAGCTTATTGCTGAAGAAACAAACTGTACTTGTACCAGAAACATCACAAACACCAATAATTACTTGTACAAAAGAAGTGAAGTCATGTAAACTAGAAAATGAAAAACACCTTAATAAATGTAAAATAATAAACAGTCATTTTTCTTTCACTTTAAAATAATGCATTCAAATACATGTTGTGAAATTATTCATTCATCAGTGGCTTCTTTTAGATCATATCTGGTGAAAATAATTCAATGTCCAGTTCATGTAATGATAAGTAACTGTTTCCCCCATTTAACATTTCTACAAACTTGAACACAGCTCGAGTTGTCGTGGGTCTAATGTTAACTACAGTAGAACAAATTGATGAAGTAACTCAAGAAGTCTGATAACATGACAACACACTGATTATTCAACTGTCTTTTTTTAAAAACAATTATACCTATAAATTCACTCTCTAATAACCTATTGACACTTCACAGAATGTCGTATTTATATTCTACACTTGTTCTAGTTCTTGTTGGATCTACACATCATCTAGCTAACATCTAAATTAAATAAATTCAAACAAAATATACAATTTCTTGGAAGAAAAAAATATCTTACTTACGGATTGCTCATTACGCATTCCAATGAACTTTATTCCAACTTCCTGAGCAGCTACAGCAATCTCTACAACTGGAACTCCAACCACTCCAAATATATACTTAACATCCTGAAATAAGAACTTAAATATTACTATTCAATTATGTTTTACAAAACTCCAACCACTCCAAACAATATACTTAACATCCTGAAATAAGAACTTAAATATTACTATTCAATTATGTTTTACAAAACTCCAACCACTCCAAACAATATACTTAACATCCTGAAATAAGAACTTAAATATTACTATTCAATTATG